AAAAAGATTTAATTAAATTAAGTGTAATATCTATATAAGGCTGAGATACTAAACTACCTTTGATAAAAATCGTCGTATCTTTTAAAGCTAGTGGAGCACTAATTAATAAAGAAGTTAAGAATTGACTAGAAATATTTCCATTTAAAACAATACTCCACAAAACGATCAAGGGCCACTTAAATTTAAAAGGACGAAGATCATTAGATCTTAATTTCTATTATTTCGAATGTTGATCCATTAAATGTTTGCTGATTAATGATTGATTGTGCAAATCGCCATTAATATATTTTAATGTCTGATGTAGTTACACGTCTGTTGAGTGTTGTTTGTTAAAAAGTGAATATTAATCTTTGACCTTGATTGTTTACCATAAATACATATCATTATATAAATAATACAGCATCAAATTGTATGTATAATGTATAATATTAATATAGATATATTCTATATAGGTGGACTGCCAACTTGTTAACTAGAAACATGACATTAATAATAATAAGATCAATGATCATGAACACAAAACACAACATGCATTGTTAATGTAATAATATAATCTAAGCTCGAAGCTAACACATGTTTTTTATCAGTTGCGATAACGATGTCGTTATCAGACGTTACTCTTTAAACAACAGAAAAAAACAATATCGGGCGAAACGATATTATTATTACTTACATCCAATTCGATTTCGTAATACTGCTTCCATATATTATGTCGTCTCAATTACTTCACAATTTGCGTTAATGACTACAGTGTACTGAAAAAAATTGCACATCGCGAACGTTTCCTGATGTCATTTTCTATGTCAAGGACACCTGTGGTGGTCCACAGCTGCCAAATATATTGTCAACAGACTTCAACGTTCATTGCTTGAATGATGGATAACGAGAAATACCTCCAACCACTTCGACATGCATAATGGCACACGATACACAGGTAAATAAACCATAAACTACTTCTTTTTCAAGGGAAGTTTAATTTGATTTACAAAGTTTGTTTACTTCAGAAACATGATTCCAACTCAACTAACGTGTTGCACAGTTTGACGGCGGGTGCCATCGCTGGTGCTTTAGCCAAGAGTACAATTGCTCCATTAGATAGAACTAAAATCAATTTCCAAGTAAGTATTGTACATGATCGAAAATTATCATTTATTTTTCAGTCAGTAATAAATGTATACATTTGTAAATATTGATCAATTTTAATATTTAGATATCTCAAGAACCATACTCTGGTAGAGCTGCGCTTAAATTTTTGGCTGACACTTATGCAAAAGATGGTTTTATATGGTTATGGCGAGGCAATACAGCCACCATGACTAGAATCATCCCTTATGCAGCCATTCAATTTACAGCATTTGAACAATGGCGAAAATTGCTGAAGGTTGATTCTCTAAACACAAAGTAATATTATTATTTAGGCTTATTTTGTTGTACCAATTACATAATATTTAAAAGAAATGAATATTTTCAAACATATAAATAATTATATATTAATTATATTTGGCAACTCTAAAATGAGAATACATTGTTCATTATGCCAATATCAATTTTAGTTAAAAAAAAAAAAAGCAACTGCTTCATGTTTCTGAATATTAATATCTACTCAAAATGTATTATTTATTTTTTATACTATTTTTCTTTTATGTTCTCCTCCCTGATAAATATTTGAGTTGAAATATAATTTATTTATGAAATACTGTTTTGATTATATAGCTTGCCTATACTGCTATATACAGAATTATTGTTGATTCTTCAATGATAAAATAGGTATTAAAACTAAATTTTAATTTTAAAATTATAAACACTAGAAATGAAATAATATTTTAGTTTGATTTATTTTTTAAAAGTCCATTTGTATTGTTAGTTTTATAGAATTGTTAAGTAAAAGTTTTTAAATATTTTAAATATTATGAATTTCACCTGATGCTACAAAGATAGTATTATTTAGTTATCATGCTTATTTTCAACACTAATTTATTGATATATAAAACAATAAATAATTTATAGTTACATATGCACAAATCCTTAAGCATAATATAGGTATTATCTGGTATTAGTGGTATTACTAATTTAAATCTTAGTTAAAAATAAAAAAATAGTAAACATAATGATTACTTTTATTGTTAAGAGAACGTGATAGTGTGATAACCATGTGTTGTTTCCGTCTTACAAGTGCGTGACATATTACATTTTACGCTCAGCAGATCACACTTTTCTCCGTTAGTTTAAAAGTTAGAGTGAATTGACCTCTTATAAAATTTAAAGGTAAGAATATTATTTAGACAACCTCATGAGCTTTTTACTATATTTTAATTTTGAAGTGRGTTATAAGTATTTTAAGATGTACAAAAAATATACAATTTTAAAATACTTGTAGCATGATCTGCTAAGCATAAAATTTACCATGTTACTTGTAAGACGGAGACAACACATGCAGGTATCACATCCTCTTAATAGTAAATAGTTTCATAAGCAGTATTTAATTAATATTGAATGTTTTATGGGCTTTAAGCCTATAATTTTAATTTTCACAATCTTATATCTTGTTATTGTATTTACATTGTCCAGAAATTTTAATAATTAATTACTAAAGTAATACAAAAATATTAGTATGATATTTATATTTAAACATAATAAATTTATTTCTCCGTGCACATTTTTTCATTACACATTTTAATTAATATTTTAAAAGGTTTGAATTTAGATCTATAAGCTAATAGATATTATTTTAAATAATTTTATAGTTGTAACAAACAGGTGGCTTAATATTTATAATTTCTATTTTTTTTATTTGATTGCTACTTATTTTTTTTTATTATAAATTTAATACTATGCTATTATTTTTTTAGAAATAATGGAGGTCTTAAGTTTCTGTCTGGTTCTTTAGCTGGCGTAACATCACAAACACTAACTTATCCTCTAGACTTGGCAAGAGCAAGAATGGCAGTTTCTACCAAAAATGATTATAAATCGTTGGGAGATGTAAAGTATTTAATTTTAAATGGTTTTGTTGATGTAGTATTATATTGTAGTTATATTATTTATTTAGTTAGTCTAAATATTTTGGAGTATAATTGACAAAATGAAGTTAGTATAACTGCAGGGACGTTCTGTCCTACTTGGATACAAGAGATTTCCTTTGCTGGTTTATTTTGGAGGTACCGATTATCTATATGACTGTTGGCTATAATACAATGTTTTGTATAGAATATTCAGTATTCATATTGTGAAAGAATTGGACACTACTATTTTAATAGGTCCAACTAAAGTCAAATGTTGAGTACTGAAACGTTTAAGAATTAATTGCTATATATAATATTAACAATCATGTTGATAAGTTGATATGCTAAAGAATGTTAGAAAAGCTGAGCTTCTTATCTCACTTATCCCTTTCAAACTTTGTTTATATTCGCTTGAAGATATTTGGCAAAAAATGTTGCCTGACATTTTTCTCCATCCCGCCGATTGTTTAACCTCTATCAACCTTTTTTCCATAATATTTACAAGTGAATTTAAATGATTGAAATAAACCATATTATTTATTTATTAGGTGTTCAAAAAGACTTTTAAAGTTGAAGGGATAAAAGGCTTTTATCGAGGGTATGTGCCAACAATACTTGGTATTATACCTTATGCAGGTACAAGTTTTTTTACATATGGCTCATTAAAGTCATTTATGAAAGGTTAGTATTTATTAAATGTACAATTAATCTAATCATTTAAATTTTTTAATACCTATATTTCATAATATAGAAAAACATGGATATGAAAATACAGCTGTGAATTTAGCATGTGGTGCAGTGGCAGGTATGGCTGGTCAATCTTCGTCATATCCTCTAGATATTATTAGACGAAAGATGCAAACATCAATAATTACTGGAATTAACTACACAAACCTCAGAACAACATTTATGATAATTTATAAGTAAGGTATTTTTGTTAAGTAAAAATACGATTGAGCACATTCTTATCAGAGCAACATTTTTTATTATGATTGAGTATGCTCTTTTTTCTTTCTAACATTGCCAAATTCAATCAATTTTATGGCAAAGTATTTGTTGGATTCAATCGGTAGCAAACTTAGAGGTTTAATTGCATTTCTGATCTTACTGAATATTCTTATAGTATAGGCTATCTATATATTGTAAAAACTGTGATATTACTATAATATTAGTTATAGCCTACATAATATATTTTTCTCATAAGCGCCATATGAAAAAAATATAATAATTCCATTATAGTCTTGAAGAAACAATTAAAAATAATTAAGAAGACCCAATATGGGTATTTGTTGTCTTTGTCTTACAAACAATACAGTCAGGCAAATTTTATGTTACAATAATATATTTTACTCTGTAATTTCTAAAATAAGATTGAACATCTCACTTTTCAAAAATTAAAGGCAAGAATATTATCTAGAGAAACTCAAAGGATTTTATTGATAATATTATTTTTAAGTAAGTCTTGATCATTTTAAAATGTAAAAAATAAACAGTTTGAAAATAGTCATAACTTACTTAAGAGAATTCGATACCAACCATTGTTTTTGGACTAAAACATAACAATATTAAATATTTGTCCATCAGTCCAATAGACTTAATGATGCTATAAGAAATTATAAAACTTATTTGAATTTGTTATTATGTCTTCTTGAGATCAGCTGAGCCACTCTTTCAAATTTTGGCTGCTAATTTTTTAAATATGGATTTAAAAATTGTGAAATTTAAAAAGAATGTTATTACTTATTTATTAATCTAAATTAAAATTATAATTTGAAAAAGTGGCTAAGCCGATCTCAAGAAGACATAATAATGAATTCAAATCAGTTTTTAAAAGTCTCATCGCTTTATTAGGCCCATCAGACTGATGGACAAAATATTGGTATTTTTCAGTTGAAAAAACGGTCAGTATCAAATACGCTTAAAAATTACAAAATTAATAAAACCCTTGGAGAAGTCGTAGATAATATTCTTGATTTTTAATTTTATAAGAGGTAATAGAAATTTTAGAAATCGCTGAGTAAAATGTATTATAATATTTGTTAATATGAAATCTACCATATTATATGTTTGTAAGATGGAGACAACAAATGCTTGTGTGGCGTATTTTTAAAATAACATAACTTTAAATGTAATTAAGTTACTGACTACTATAACTAATTTATTACTGCCTGCCCTTTATTGTATATAAGAAATATGAATAAAATGATTCTTTATAAACTGATTAGGTTTAACTTGTGACTATGCCCTTTTACATATAGACTATACATATATTATGTAATCTACTGGCAAATGTGTTCTTCCAGACAACCTACCTGTTTAGTATAGGATGTTGTCTATATGTGGCCAACTGATTTTTACATGGATTTATGATTATCTTTGATATATACAATATAACCTATTTTTTTTATCTGTTTATGATCTTATAATTTATGGCATTCGATTTCAATGTTTAGACATTTTGGAAAAGTTTGGATTGAACTTAGGTCATAGATAGCTTGGTTCGTCACTAATTGCTGGACACTATAGTTTATCCTATTTAATATTTACATATGATACTATATTCGTAAATTTACTGGTAGACCACATACTATATTTCAGTGCAAACCAAACAGCAATTTTCCTTATTAAATAAATAATAAATTGTACATCAATGTTATATGTAATTTTTGATGAACTGTATTAGTTTTTTGCGTTGGTGGTGAGCATTTGTGAAATATACTACTATACTATGTGTAAGTGCTGAATTGTTGGACCAAAATGATACAATGTGCTCAATCATTTGAAAACCTTATTATTGTTTATAAATAAGCAACTGTGGTTATAAATATTTTATATTAATTCTAGAACTGAAGGCATTAGACAAGGCTTTTTCAAGGGTCTAAGTATGAATTGGATTAAAGGTCCAATTGCTACCGGAATTAGTTTTGCTACATATGATTTTGTAAGGGAGACTTTAAAGAACATTTGAAGTTTTTAATATTATTTTTATTTTCACCACAACTGTGCCTAATTTAATCATATTGTTACCATTAGATTTTATTTTATTTGTTTGAAGCCTTTTAATGTGTTTAAATTATATCCAATTTTCTGAGAGTAATAATTTTTACATGTAATTACTTACATTTTTTTAAATAATATAATATCTAGTCAAATAATTTTAATATTGATAAGCAAGTTAGAACAAAATTTGCTAATACTGCTTAAGTCACTGTAAATATCAAAAATTAAAAAATATATATATATCAATATCAGCAAAAATTTTTTTTTTTGCTGATATAATTATTGTTATTGTTTAAACATTGTGATTAATTGATTATTATGTTAGTTTTGAATAATAATTAACTACAACAAATCTATTACTTAGCTTAAATGTACTGTTTGAAACTTTAAAGTATATTATTTGTTATTTTCATAGGTGTTTAATTATATTGTTAATGACAAAGAAGAAATAATTCAAAGACACATAGCTCTATAAACATCAATTTATATCTGAAATATTTAAATCATCAGTATTTATTGACAGAATTGACAGAAAAATGTATTTGTATATAATATACATAATATTATTTTGCTAAAACAATTGATTGGATTATTTCTGTAAATATTGTTATTTATATTTAAACAGTGAAGTTGTTACACTAGAATGTTTTAAGTTGTATTTAATTAATTGAAATTAAATAAGTATGTTTATAGTGTCGTGATAGTTTTTAAAATTGGTAACTAACATTTACAATATTATTTCTAACACTCAATTTTAGAAGAAATACCTTGTTGGAAAAATGGATTAGTATCATTTTTTCTTAATGTTTGAAAATTAACCATCATTTAAAATATTTATAGATTAAAATTACAACCATGTATAAATTGACTAATCATCAAAATTAAAGAGGTACTTAAATTCTTAATTTATAACGATGAATAATTAATTTTCAGTACAATTATTATTTTTGGATGACCAATCATGACACTAGTTTTGCTTAAAATTATAAACATTTTTTTTATTGATAAAGTTATTGTAATTGTTTTTTCTTGTTATTACTTTATTTTTTTTTGTTATCTGAATCTGAAATTAATATACAATAAATTAGTTCTAAGACAATCCCCTTAAATATTAATATTAATATTATTTTTTACCATGATTATAAATAATATTGTACACTTATTTATTAAAATGTTATTGTATTTTTTAAATTATGACAATAATATGTTGTAACTTGTAGTCATAGCTATTAATTAGTTTTGCATACTATAGATGAATTATTTGAAAGTTTTTATTCTTTGCATTCTTGAGCAAGTTCATTCATTTGATTGCTAACTTCGTCAAACTCTGAAAATAAAAATAATTTAAAAATATACCTATTGTAACGGACAATAATTTTATGTGTATAAATGTAGTTTTAAAGACTGATTGAAACTGTATAATTTTGTCAAAATTATCTTAACATTTTTTTTAAAATAAATTTAAAATGGATAAATTACGTAAAATTACATTTCCCATTAATTATAATTGTATAACATATTGTGTTAATGTTTTGCGTAGGATTATTTGAAGATAATCCAAGATTGATAATATCTTAGATATTATATACATATTTTGGTGAAAATGTTCACTAAACACTAAACAGTCGAGTGATTGAATTATTTGAATTAAAATACATAGATACTAATATAGTAATATTACAAATCAGCGCTTTCCACTACGGAATGTTAAAGTTATTTAATATATTCCCGCGTGAGGCGGGACGTCCCGTATCCAGGGCTCAATTAATAATGTGTCCCGCGATACGTGTTCGCGGGACGCTGACTGTCCCGCTTCTTGGTAAACCTCTCATAGTCCTATTAAAAATAACTATTACGTTCTTATTTTGCGTGCCGGTTTTGTCAAATATCAGTAGTATTTATAGATTCATTTCCAACAATATTTATGTCGGACACTTATCGAAATTTGTACRTACAATCAATATTATTTTTGGTGCGTTATCTTAATAATATTATGATCAAACGTTTACTATACTGAATATCCACTCAGAAGGAGAAACATTAAGTGGCGACGCGTGTGTAATACGTGTTTTGTTCGAGCCGAGTGGAATAATAAGACATTTTTATCATTTTATTTTTTCATTGTCTCGAGGCTCGCGCAAATTGCTGTGTCGCCGTGTCACTGTGTAGCTAGTACGCACTATTTTTCATAATTTTTTGGTATGTCCCGCTTTTTTATGTCGAGTCCCGCATATAAATATATGATTTCCCGCTTATTCGTAAATGAGAGTTGGCAACCATAGTCATATGTGAGGATATACCATATACATATATTATTATTATACAAACGTTATCCGTACCTATATGGTCTAAAGTCCGTCAAAAACTGGAAAGAGATTAGGTCTTGCAGCGTGTGACTTACACTATTCGATTATTTGTGCTGTAATATGCGATGACCTTATAAAAAATTAATCTCTTTTAAATAACAAGCATATGAGTTTATAATATTAGTGTATTAAAAAATCTGTGCTTGCTTGGAAGCCTTTTGTATTGGGATACTTTGTTTGAATTACATCAACAAAAAATCAATTATGGTGGGATTTTTAGCTAGAATAGTAGAATAAAGGTACTTAATTGTCTTAATTGAATAAATAATTATAAAAATATAAAACAGAATGCTATTTTTCCACTATCTATGGCACTATGTAGATATATTACATTAAAATCTATTAGCACAGCTCCAAATCGCAATAAACTGACACAAGGACGAGTAGCAATTTAAAAATAAACATTTAAATTATTAAATTAAAATAAATTCAATAGGTACTTCTTGAAAAGTATGCCTACTAAGTATTATGCAAACTTTTTTTCCTTAAAAACCGTTTTTTAAACTTTTGTTTGTTCTTATTAAAATAATTAGAATTTCAATTGTTATTTTCTATGGTAAATTAATAGTCTATAGTGATAATTACATTTCCATTTACTATTTGTATTGCAGATATGATTAAAAATGATAACACGACAAAAATGTAAAGCCGCGTACACACTTGTAACATTAGCGCGTAACATCTTTTGATGCGACTCAATTTACCGACAACTGGTGGAACGGTGTTACGGCGTTACAGCGCAACAGAAAATGTTACAAGTGTGTACGCGGCTTAAGTAATCACTGATAAAAAAGTAAGAATATCAGATCACTAAATTTAATATCTAAATGTACATATAGGTACCTACCTAGATGAATTAATAACATCAATATAATAGCTATAGTAGGTAATAAGATATACTTAATTCAAACATTTCAAACAATGGAATTATATACGTAGGTGTAACTTCCATTATCCACGGTAAGTACCTACATATACATATTTTTCAACATACTTATTATATATATTTTTATCTTTTTGTAATTCAATACTATTGAGATATAGAGTACCTATTTGATTAAATCTCAATTTCCATATGGGTAAATATTTTTATTTAAATTACCTATTGGTATTTGTTCACGATATGTTTCTAGTGATGACCTGTAGGTACTTCTGTTTTTGCAAGGTAAGTTTAATATTTAAAAGAGTCATGTAAGTATATGGTTAAGTTAATATAAGTCAATATTAATAATAATTCAGTAATTTTTCTTAAAAATCAACGATAAATAAATAAGGAGAGAAAATTGATAAAAAAAAAAACTGAATCGAAACTGTTCGTTTGAAAAATTTCCGTTTTTTCTTAAGCGAGATATTTTTCATTAAAAATTGTATAATTTTAAGAGAAAACAACTTAAACTTTTTGCAATTAAGTGTTCAATATTGAAAATATTAACAAAACAATATATATACTACTTAACTATTTAATACCTATCATGAATATAAAATATTGAATATTATGATAATATGATATAGTTGATTCAGTGATTGGAATACAATGTATCAGACATAAGCACTTATTGATTATGGATTCAAATTCGAATTACAAATTACAATAATATTTATATAGACATATAGGTATAGTATTATAATAGTAAATGTACAATAATCAACATGTACCTTTTTTTACTTTTTAATACAAAAACAACAACTATACAATTAAGCACAATAAGTTTAAGTGATGAGGAGGTTTACATAATATGAACAATATGACTCGATGTAGGGGGGCTCCCAATGGAGCTACCTACATGGATTAATGGAGGAGGTCTCTAACCCATTTTCGTTTGAGTCTTCGTGGAGGGTTGTCCGGGATGTGATGTGTAACAAGATAACTAATTTCGGGGTTACTATGGGAGCTAAATTTTTGTGAAGTTTTTGGTAAGCGATTTTAGTGACTTGGTTTACTTATATAGTTTATTTTCAGGTCTGAGCGTTGAGTTTTGTTACTAACATACCAGGGGAGTTTTGTAATAGTGCGAAGGCAGATGGATTGGAATGATTGAATTTTTTTGTAATGTTACTTGGAACGGCATTACCCCAAATTTGTATACCATAATATCAAACGGGAAATATCAACATTTTAACATGTACCTATTGTACCTATCAAAAATTAATAACTGATAGGTTACTGATAGTCAGTCATTGGCCTTAGTATTTGTACAGGCACGTTTTAGGTATAAACACTAATATTTAAAAACTTTAATAACTTATATTTAGATATGTTTGTACAATTATTTTCAGAAGATCTCAAAAGTAGAATAGATATTTTATATTGAACTGTTTAATATTTATACAAGTACTTATAATAGGTACTGTATTATTAACACTTTCTATTTGTATGTATATTTTTTTAATTATATAATTTTGAATTTGTTGAAACATTATAATTAATTTAAAAATCAATTATTACTATTATTTTTGATTAGTATTTGGATATTAATTATTTTTTGCTACTAGTTTTTTAGTTAGAATTTGAAAAAATTAATCAGCTTATAGTTCTAAATATGACGTGGGTAGTGGGTTTATAGCACGAAAAATGTATCCCAAAAGTGAAGATTTAGGTAATTCAGAATTATGTTTTTTGATCAAGTATTATTTATTTTTTGTAATATTGAAATAGGTACACTTGTTATATAAAAAAAAATGTTTAACCAACTACTTACCATACGTAAATTATAAATTAATAAGATTCTTTATATGACACACCGCCTGAGTGTTGAGGGTATTTTTTGACAAGTATTTCATTGGACATTGGGAAAAATTATTACATATCTATAATAAAAGGGCTAACAATTATTGCTCCCCTCCTTAGAAGAAATTTTCTGGCTACGTGCCTATATTCATAAAATGATAATATTTTTATCCAGACTTCGTATACCTAGTTAAATTTTGAATTGTGTTCATGAAATGGAATGTATTTATTTCGTTGACTCCTAAAACCGCACACTTTTAATAAAGTACAGAACAAAACCGCACATTTTTAGTAGGTTAAAACCGCACACATTTAATACACATTTAATAGGTTAAAATCGCACAATTTTTAAAATTGTTGTATCCAAAAACCGCACATTTTTTATTTCGACCCCAAAAAGGTTATACTTACCTAGATTAGATACATTTAATAATTTATTCAAAAAAAAAAAAATGTATTTACAAATATTCAAATTTAAAAATGTAAAAATG